GCCCGACTTCGTAGACCCGCCGTTGACTGTAAGAAGGCCCTAAGTGAGTTCACCATCTTTTTCTCTTGTTCCTTGTGCTCTCGGCTCGTCAAACCGTGGCCTCTAGGGCCCAAACCGAGCGCTCCGGGGAGCTTCTCGCCGCCGGTAATGGAGCTCCGCCGCGCCGGTTTTCTTCTTCAGTCGGCGACTCTCTTCCCCTCCTTTCTAATTTGATCCATCTAGATTCAATTCAATGGTCCAAGATCGTCCGTACCTCTTCGCTGGGTTTATTTGCAAAAGAGCCCCAGTAGTTTCGCGTAATATAACCCGCAGTCCATGGCGCACTTCTAGAATACATTTTTCTATTCCGAAAGCGTAGTTTCTTTCTAGTAGATTCAGAATATGTTTTCTCTTTCAGAAAGCATAAAATCCCTCTGTTAGATTCAAAATACGTTTTCTTCTTTTGAAAACGTAGTTTCTTCGGTTAGATCCAAAATACGCTTTCATCTATTTATAGTTTTGCCACTAGTCTTATTTAGACCATAAAATCTTCATTTTAACTCTGTTTTGATCCATTCAAGTTGCGTTAGATTCGTAATTGAGTAATCTATATGTTCATCCTACTAATAAATATATTTTCAACTTTTGTAATTTGAGGTTAGATTTAATCTATTACTTTATTAAAGGAAATCTTGTTTAATTCATAACTTTTTCGTTATAGCTCCGATTAGAGTGTTTTTCGTGTCTGTGTGTTCGTAGTAACGTGTAGAACATCTTTAAAACATTTTACCTATTGTTTATTATGTTTGGTGTATTGTTCTAATTTATTTCTATTGTTTGCTTCGTGTATGATTGCATGGATGCTTGTGTGGTGTTTTATGATCATGTCCAGTCGGTGAGCTATACACGGTGAATCCGGAAGCAATGCATTGAAGGTTTGGGCTAGAAGAAGGATCTGAGTTTGAGGCAAGTATAGCATGGGATCTTCCTTGTTGTCCTTTTCACCTTAATATTATTTTAATCATATGCATGTGTCTACCTTGGCAACAGTAGTAATTTTCCTAGCTATTTAATATTCTGGATTCCTTGTTACCTATGGGGTATTGCATTGGGTAGTATGATGCTAGTGCTCAACCAAAGCCATGATCTTATAACTTGACTAATGGTATATGCAATAAACACTAAAAGATGCTTTTTAGCAGCATGGAATAAGGGGGCTAGAGCACTGGGTTATTTTTATGGTGCTCTAGATTCTTCTCCCTAAGGACTTATCTGTAAGTGATCATCCGGGACTTATAGTACAGCTGTGAGGGCTACATGGCTTTGGCTTTAGCTCAGTATGAGGACCTTTTCTAGGTTGTTAGTGGTTACCTTTATTGGTGTAAGAATGGCTTACCGAATCAGGTATAGTGCGGCCTCTGTCCCCTTGTGTATAGGCTATGCATCATTGTGCCATCGGGATGGGGGGCTCTACATCTGTTTGCCGAGTGAATCTAATGGCCCTAACTTGTTAGACAAACCTTTGAAAGGCTTCATAGTGAACCCTGCCGACCTTCCTTGGAAGTGGGTCAAGAGATTAGCTACCTCGGGCGAAAGGGTAAATCACGACTCATAGTGAAAGTGTACAACCTCTACAGAGTGTAAAACTGGTATATCAGTCGTGCTCACAGTCACAAGCGACCTTGGAACATTTACGGAATAGATGATGAACACTGATGATACTGATGATAAAGATGCTCACTAATGATTACTGTTTATGCTATTCATTATTCATGTTTACCTGATCATATGTTTATATGGGCTTATGAATAAACTTGTTGCCACCCAGTTGCTAAAAGATGACTCATTAAAAGCTAGTTGCAGTTAAACTAGTGTTCGCCATTTGAGCCTCATGAACCCCATGTTATATTTATTGTTTGACCTCCTGGGCTCACATATGGTGTGTATCTGGTTTTGTCCTTAAAACTAGGTGCTATAGCAAAGAGTTGGCTTGAGGATCGGATGCCTAAAAGGGAGAAGCGGGTTCTTGCATTCGATGCTGGAGGTCTTCGGTATGGCATGATGACTAACAATTCTTTAGAATCGTTCAACAAGGTGTTCAAGGGTATCCGTGTAGTCCCTGTGTTAGGTATTGTGGAGTACTCATTTTGGAACTCATTGAATACGTTGTCAATCGATGGAACATAGCAAAGGTATCCAAAGAGAAATGGGGTAGAGCCGGTAGAAAACACTTGGGTCTCTTAGAGACGATAGCTTCCAACCAAGTGGGGGAGGCCTTTGGGCCATCAAGGTTAGTCTACAATATTAGGTCGGCACGAGGAATGAACCTGGGGGCGAGGAGTACAGTGGTAGGAATTATAGGGTTGACCTTGAGAAAGCGGAATGCTCTTTGTAATATTCCACAACTCTTCCATGTGCCTTGCTCGCATGTCATCACAGCTTGCAGATGCAGGGGTCTAGAACAGGAATGTGAAAAGTTCAAGTCTCCTTATTACCTCATTCAAACACTCTCAAAGTGTGGGAGTCAAGCTTCGAGCCTTACCTAGATCTGACACAATGGTCCAAGTACTATGGGTTGGATTATATTCCTGACTTGGACCTTTTGAAGACAAAGAAGGGTAGAAGGAAGAAAAAGCGGCTCCGAGGAGTTATGGATGCATTGAACGGGTATGGAGAAGATATGTATGGTTTTGGAGACTTTGATGAGGCACCAAGACAGGTCCGTTTCTCGAAATGCCACAAAACTGGTCATACCGCTTCCACTCATAAGAAGTGTAAGAAGTCAAAGAAATTAGAAATACGGAGCGAGAGTACTAGTGGTTTGAAGGTTATAAAGGTACATAGATTGAAATAGGTGTTGCTTATATATTCCATGCATTTCGTCATTGTTTTTGAACCATATAGCATGTTTCATTTACTTTTTGCATATTCTAACGTTGTGTTATCGTTTTCACAATTGCAGCATGGCGCACCCGCACTACCCCCATCTTGAGACCTACTATGATTTGGACCACCGAGCACACTTGATGGTCGATGAGGGTTCGGTAAGTGATTTACACATAATATTTCGTTTCCATGTATAATGTGTTAACCCCTCTATCGATTGTAACGTTGTTTTTTAGGCCTTGGTCCCCCTGCGTCCCTGAACTCACCGACCGCTAGAGTGGGATGAGCGCTATGCCAAGTACCTGTCATGAGCCGGAGCCAGTTTTCTAGGCCTTGCTCGAGCTATCAATGCTGGCCTCCCAGACATGGATGGTCCCCTCATCACCGCCTTTGTCAATAGGTGGCGTCCAGAGACCCATAGCTTCCACCTATGGTCTAGAGAGATGTCCATGCTCATACAAGACATTGGCTACATTTTGGCCCTTCGCTTGGACTGTCCGACAGTGATAGGCATGGTAGATATAGAGAACTAGAAGGATATGGTGGAGCAGTTTACCGACTACCAGCCACCAGACCCTAAAGAAGAGAAGAAGACATCAGGTGTCAGCTCAGCCTGGTTGCGGCAACGCTTTTATAGGTGCCCACCCCATGCATCAGCGGATGTCATTGAGAGGCACGCTCATGTCTGGCTATGGCACATGGTGGCAAGCTTCCTCCTTCTAGATGCTTCTAGGAACACTGTCTCCTAGATGGTCCTACCCTAGCTGCATGAGCCATGGGAAAAATGGGGAAAAGTTGATATACACAACTGTCGCGCCACTGCCACTAGCGCGACAGACTCAGCGCACACTGTGCAAATGACTATCGCGCCAGCTATGATGGCGTGGACCAGAATGGTTTGGCCTAGCCAGCACCTCCTCGTCGCGCCACCATAGCTGGCGCGACAGCCTTGTCACGCCATTGACTCTGGTGCGACAGGCTTGTCGTGCCACCTAGGCTAGCGCGATAGTCTTGGTAAAAACTAGTTTTCTTGGCCATTTGCTCCATTCCAGCTCTTTTTCTATAACCAATTTTGTTGAACTATCAAGATCTGTTTTCTTCATGTTTTCGAAACCTAAATCCACCATTTCTAAACTTATTAACATTGTATTTTCTTCATGGTTTGGAAACATGTCCACCATTTCCAAACTCATGAACATTATGTTCTCTTCATGTTTTGAACTAAAGTTGAAATTACAAGAATTCTTGACATGAAAACCATGAATGCAAAGTAAAACATTGTTCACATAGCACTACTACTAACACTAGTCTTCCATCTACCATAAACAAGTACTACCAAATGGCGACCCATGGCCATTTGCAAAATATGTACGGATCTTGTTGCCTTTGAAGAAAAAAGCAGCGCTATCGTATTAGTCCTACATCTACCATATACAAGATGTATGTAATGCCAAACCTATTGGCATTTGCAAAATATGAACTGCACCTTGTAGGCATGAGTTGAGACCAAACACTCATCATCGTCCTCATCATCGTCATCATCATCATCGTCATCGTCCTACTCCATGGGTGTGGGGATATGTCCGTCGTTTAGTGGATCATCGGGAACTACAACAATGAAACAATGTCTCATTGCCAACAAATGTAAGAAGATGCACAAGTCAAAACTATTTCAAAATCAATTACTCACATAATCAACGTTTCAAAGCCTTACCACCCTCATATTGTACCCTCCTGTGGAAAAAGGCCTGCTCCCTCGCATCCTCAGCATCCCTAAAGTCGTAGGCCTCTTGTTTTGTCACCAGAAGGTCATCAACTCGGCCTCGGTATAGTAAAAATTCAGTTGTCGACCGGTCACTCGAGGAAAGTCCTCGAGTATCCTATTACGGGTCTTCCATGATGGCTTCTCTACCCTGTACTTCCTCCTCACCTCTATCTTCTCCTACCGGATCCAATGCTTCCTATCTTTTTTGAGAGGCGAATGTATCTTTAAGCTCTCTAGTAAGTCTCCACGACCAGGGAAGTCCTCCCAAGTGCATGTCCTCCGCACCTAAGCAAACACAAAGGAATGAGCAAACAAACAGGTGGCCTTTATTCATTTAGTAACTTCACCGGTTCAGTCAACTCACCCATAACTAAGATGGCCCTCCATAAGCATTGCCATAGTAGTAACCATATCCTAGCTCAGACGGAACAACTCCTTCACGAGCCTTGACGCCACACTTGCACTTTGTGCCTGGCCATGGCTTAATGCCTGCTTCAAACTCCGCAATTTCATACTCAGAAGGCCAGTTCGATTTGGGTCCATAGTTGTACTCCTCAAAGTCACAAGATGGGAACCCTCTCTGCAAAAAAACAAAAAAAACAAATGTTCAAAGTGTAATATTGTATGTGCAAAACGCATACAAGCTTAGAGATAGATTGATTTCATGAGAACTTAGATAATCTAGCAATCCACAGCGATAGAAGGTGAATGCTCGACGTTGACGGGGAGTAGTTAGTAGCGCCGACACTCCACAATGGCATTTAGGAGGATTGGCTAGACGGTGCAAAGCAGCGTCAACCTTCTCTGCCTCTGTTATTTTCGGAAGGTTTGGTGGCGGCAAAACCCAACGAACAAATTCTAAATATGGAACGCTCTTCCAGGGGTCAGAAGGAAAGAACATAATCGATGGATCGAACATTTCATCGCCATCGATCCATTGATAGAAGCTACATCCCTCTAGGTAGGCATCAAGTGTCGGGGGTCGATGCTTAAGTTGACAGACGTAGAAAGCATGCCTAGCTGACTCGGGATGCCTTGACTGCTTCACAAATGCCAGTAACCCACAATAAGACAACGGTGTTGGAAGTGCTGGTAGGAAAGGACCGATAGCACCATGATCCTTCGGATGGTGCATGAATTGGTTCTTATTTGGAACCGCCATTGAACCTATTACAATGTAGTTCAAGAAAGCAAAGATATGAACCAACCCATACTGCAGTCCATTGCAGTCAAACCCTAATGCAGTGCCAACCAAAACCAATCTCAAAAATCATAAAAATTCAACAACTACAACATGAACCATAATATATTAGACGTGATTAGCCAAAGCAACTTTCATTAAACCAAACGAAAGTCGGTATTGCACACAGCAGTGTAAACCAGGGCAGTACATAAACATCAACTTAACACAAAAGAAAACAACAGAGGTGAGGGAGTCATATCTCTTGCACGAGACTGATCAAACCTGAAATGCAAATGCAAACTTGATCAAAGGCAAATAGAGGATGGGAGGAAGAGAAGAGAGAGAAGTGAGGTGACTTCGAGCTCGTCCAGAATGAAGGGAGGGAGAAGAAAGGGAGAAAAATGGAGGTGGGCTGCGCCCTTATATGGGCCAATCGCGCCAGCCCGCCTGGCTCGACAGAGCTGTCGCGCCAGAGTCGCTGGCGCGACAAGGCGGGGCCCACGCTGCGCCACGCTAGCTCCGGTCAAACATCCACGCCAGCGTGGCTCCCCTTGTCGCACCAGTGCATGTGGCGCGACAGTGTGGTACTGTCACGCTAGCGGGTCAGTTTTTGCAATTACTTTTTTTGGGATTAGTATTAAAATATTGATTAAAAAGGATTTAAAATAAAAAAATTCCTCATTGTTGCGAGGTTATATATTGTCCAATTTAAAAGTTATGTCTCTCTTTTAAAGGCAACACATTTACTTCTCTCAGTCATCATATCAGGCAGAGCATCACACTCATCACATCCGTGTTTTTTCTTGAATGCAACACACACTTCTCTCAGTGCGCTTCGCAGCTCGGTTATCACCGTTCCATTCATTTATGGGCCGTGTTCTGTAAGTCAATTTTGTTGATCTTAACTACTTCTTCAGTTCTAAATTATAAGTCGTTTTAACTTTTTTGGTATATTCATTTTGATATGCATTTAGATAGTTGAAGAGAAAGGGCTTGTATAGCTCATTGGGTTACAAGAGCCTTAGTAGCACCTTAGGTCTTAGATTTGACACCCCATGAAAGTGTATATTCTTGGATTTAATGGCTTTGTGCTGTCAGTGATATAGATGACGTTCTCGTCGATAGCGAGACACTCGTAGTGATTTTGTCAATATCGAGAATTTATCGACACAGTATTTAAAGTTTCTCATAGGGTAGGGTTTGTGTGTGTGTTCATAGAGGAATATGCAAGTTGTTTTCTTATGTGAATGACAGGACAGATGATGATTTCAAATTGTCTTAAAATTACTTAGGCGCATATCCTTTGTTCGAAATTGTAAGTATTTTTAGTCAGATTACAGACGTAGACACTAGTACATGCGCGAACATATACTTCTCTCGCTCATCATATGAGGCAGAACAAAATCATCACATCTTCTTCTTTTTTCTTGAATGCAACATGCACTTCTCTCGTTGCGCTTCATCTCTCAGTCGTCGTTCCAATTATTTATGGGCCCGTGTTACATAAATGGATTTTATTGATTATAACTTGACTTTAAATTATTTGGAAACGTATGCTTTTTTGTTTCAAACTATAAGTTGTTTTTTTAACAGCTCTTTTACAAGGCGTGGCTAGCCGCCGGATATCCGAATGCTACCCCCCTGTCCGGACGCCCGCGCCGCTGCCACCCATCTCGCGTCCCACGCCTGCCCGCCCACTGCACGTCTCGCCTGCTGCGCCCGCCCGCAAGCACGTGGGGCCCGCCTACTCCAGTGAGGACTGCCTCTGCCTTCCCACGCCTGACACCGAGGCGAGACAGCAGAAAAGGCAAGGATGGAGATGCAACACTCGATCTAGTTTTGAAACATCCAGGTGCAACAATTGCAACATACGACTGAAAACAATTGAAATATTTGAAACATGCGTCTGAAACACTTTCAAAAACACATGAAACCATTGTAAATATATGGAACATTAAGATGAAACACTTGCATCATACTCCCTCCATCCCTTAAATAAGTTCATTTTGGACATGATTTAGGATAGCAAGGAGTGATTAATTATGGGGTATTTTTCTCTGTAAACCCGTATTAAATAGAGTTGTGGGTTCTCCCATTCCACAAGCGTTTCGCAGCTGGAGTGGTTAGCGCGCCATGGCCCAAGGCCGGAGGTGCATGGTTCGACCACTCGCTGCGCCAGTTTTGGATCATGGCGCGCGATTTTTGCGCGGCGCAAGTTTTGGATGGCGCGTTGGCGTGATTTTTGCGCGGATCAAAGCTTGCATGCCGTGAATTATGGATAGCTCGGTGTGGCGCGCGATTTTTGTGCGGACCGCAATTTTTTGCCAGTTTCGCTCACCTGCCTTCTTATTTAAACCCAACAACGCTAATGCAACACAACACTAAGCCCCCCTAAAAAAATAAGCCAGCTCTTCTCTTGTGTTCATTTGACGTGCATCTATCCTAACACATGGCCGAGTTCTTGGCTGGGTTAGATCCAAACGGTAAGTACCTGTCCCGTTTCTTTGTATCTTCGTCTTTTTTTTTCTGATGCATGCATCCATTATTTAAAGTCTAAGTGTACATGGTCTTGTGCCACTCTACTAGATGACAATGAAGTGTTTGTTGGTTTGGATTTGAACTTGCCACCAGAAGATAAGGATTGGTGTTCTTATGTTCTTACTAGAATAATGACCTTAGGTTCGCCCGAGAGCAACATTCCTAAAATTATGTTTTTATGTGTGACCGTGGGCCAAGATTTGATGAGGAGGGTGCACTTATTTTTAACGGAAAGATTGGATGCTTTCCTCTTGTTACTTTTGAGAGTGCTAAAGAGGAATAGTGTTCACCGGCCGGCGGGGACAATGGTAGTGAAGCCGATAGCGACAATTACAAGAGATGTAATTAGAGAATTCATGATTCCTTGTGTTCTTCCTGCTATTCGAACTAGATGGCCACTAGAAGAAGCCAACAAGCCTATCTACATTCTGCAAGATATTGAACCTTCTCATATTAGAGTAGAACACCGGACGATGAGCAGTTCTTTGAAGCTGGTAAAGAAGATGGTTTCAATCTTAGCGTCATTTTTCAACCATCAAATTCACCGAATTTTTGACATCGTAGATCTGGGCATATCTCGTGCTATCCAAGCTATTGAAATTAAGAAAGTTCCAAAAACCGTTGATGGCATTAATTATTGAGGGTAAACTGGTAAGAGCATCTCCAACAATATCTAAAAAATGCTGCCAAAAATAGGTTTTCCAACATTTACAAAATATTTTGGGAGCCATAAAAAAGCTACAACTCCAACAGTTTCTAAAATCTCGCACTTAAAAGATAGAAGGTAATTTTACATCAGGAATGCTAAACTATTTCTAAATCCAAATCACACTAACTACTTTTATATTTTATTTCTCTCTTGTACATTTGCATAAAGAACCCTGTTCTAGTTTTTTTTCTTCCCCATGTCCTTCCACCTCCAGATTGGCATGACTATACGCATTCTTAACTTTACGCGCATGGAGGTGACTTTTTCCAAGTGTCAAAAGATTGGGAGATGGGTTTGGGAGTTGTTGAAGATGAGTTTTTTTCCAATTTTGCCCAAATTCCTAGATTGAGAGAGATTGTTTCGAGTACTCTTGTAGATGCTCTAATTCTGGTTTAGCTCTCACTAGCCAATGGGTTCACCCTCACTTTCTTTTTCGAGTTTCTTGCCACCGCCAGCACCTACTTCCTCACGCAGGATTAAATTGACAAGCGAATTCAATGTACAAAAAACTCAGACAGGGGTTATTCAAATCCAACATAGATCGGAAAATGCAAGAACCCGATATCAAGCACACTTCCTTTTGGGGGCAAGCTCATCTATATGAACCTTGTGTTGCCACATCACGGGCACAAGTGCGTAAGCTCGTCGTGCAGCAACGTTACCACGACGTCAACCCAGTGGCTCAGCTTCGCGACCACGAACCGTGGTGAGCGTGAGTACCCACGGCAGCGCGTAGACTCAGGCCATCGACGCGCACGTGGAGATCAGATTCAACGACGAGACACGGCCCCGGGGAGGCAGCGCCGCCGTGACGAGCAGGGTGCAGAACGAGCAGGCCGGTGGCAGGGTCACCTTTGCTAGCGCGGGGTCGATGTTAGGGGCAATGGGAAGCAGCCGCCATGACCAGAAGAGTGAGTGATGATGGTGGAAAATTCTAGTTTAAACCCTCATAAAGATGATGAAAATACTGTTCTGGGTTTGAAACCACTGCAAGCATAATGTTGTTCATCGGACGTCGGTGTGGATTTCAAGTGGTTTGAGCACTCAACACACTCAAGCCCTCAAGGACATGGGTGATTTATTCTGATTTGGACCTTTGAGCCCTACGTTGGGCTCTGAGCCCTACATCTAGCAGTATGGTGTTTTTCGTGTTTGGAATGCTTAATTGAGGGTTCTTACAATGGAGGAATCGAGAGAAAGATTGGTAAGGGATTGCGCGGTGCTATCCTAGGGTTTTTGGTGAGATCGTTTGATCAACTCCCCTCTTTGCTTAGTTGATCGTCCGTCTTTTTGTTTTGGAGTTCGTCTCCTTCTACAGGAGCCCATGCCTCCCCTTATATACCGAGGAGCATGGGGTACAAAGCGGGTAGATCCTAACCTAGGGCTCCTTGCCTTTGGCTTTGGTCTACTTCTTGGCGCCATCGGGCCCTTCTTTGTCAAGTAGAAGGGGGTGACAACATCACAACTACTCCCTGACATCTCTATTGCATTCTAGCGCTTGGCCATCAGGTGCCACTGCAAAGCCTTCCTTGGGCCTTCTCCAGGCTTCCTTGATATGCAAGGATCCTCCCCCCGCCTTGAGGGGCTGACGAGCGGGCACGTAGCCCCCGATTCCGCGAGCTTGGTGGAGTTCTTTGTCATGATGCTTCATGCCCTGGCCGTGACACTTCCGAGGGAGTGGCTGACAGTGCCTCGTGGCTGTGGAACGGGATGGCAGTGTACTTCTTCTGGG